TTTTGAGTTGGTTTTGGTTTTCTAAAGCCTATATTTGTTTTCTCTGGTTTATATATCAAACTTTCATGAATTTTCTGAGTTTTTCTAAGAACCCTAACAGCCACCAAACCCCCTTTAAACCCTAATTTTGATTCTTGGAGAAGATTGGAGGCTTTCAAGTGGATTTTCACATGATTTTTGGCGTTTGGATTATAGATCTTCCTTGGCTTGGCTTCTTAAACGTTTTCTACAACCCAAGGTGAGTTCATCTCTGCTAATCCCCCTCCTAGTTTTTAAAACATTTTTAAAGAGTTTCTAACATGTTTTGTTGAGCCAAATTGACTAGTTTATGAATAAAAGTCAATTCTTTTGTATTATATATATATAGACTAGGTCTTTCCATGTTAAAAAGTTTGAGAACAAATTTACAGAAGTATGTAAGATCTGAAAATGATTTAAAACGTGGTTTAATCTAAAGAAAGATGATTTGTTCTTCGTTTCGAGTTTTTATGCATGACTTAGGGTTTTGAATATAAATTTTATGCAAATAATCATGCTATATATGTTGAGTTTATTTCCAGAAGTTTTTATCTACTGTAGACATTCTCTCATGTAAGTTTCATGTTGTTTTAATCATGTTTGAATCACCTAAATATGCGTGAACACGAAACACACAACCAGATTAAGAATATGGAATATCAGACCACGGTCAACCGCGCCATAGCAGTGGTCGACCGCGTGCAGGACAGAGGCCTGAGTAGGCTCTAGAACCCGTCGTGGTCCACCGTCGTTCCTGTGTAGTCGACCGCCACACAGTCAGTGGCCTTGTGCATGTTTTATTCGACTGTTGAGTATTCGAGCTAGTCTCTCGACCTTATACTATTATGATTCAATGTTTATGAGTTGTATAACACCTGAGATGTCAGTGAACACTAGTTATGGACACGCACACCGAGATATGTGCACATATGTTTAGAATATATGGTGTCAACATATTTTTGTCCTAATTTAAGTTGATAAATATGAAGAGCATGGCATATTTCATTGTATTCCGGAATAGGGAGATAAAACCTATTTCCGTATGGTGATTGAATAAGAGTATTACGAAAGTATCGTCATTCCATTGTATTCCAAAATAGGGAGATAAGACCTATTTTCGCAGGACGATTGAGTAAGAGTATTACAAAAGTATCGTTATTCCATTGTATTCCGAAATAGGGAGATAAGACCTATTTCCATAGGGCAATTGAGTAAGAGTATTATAAAAGTATCGTTAATTCATTATATTCCGGGATAGGTAGATAAAACCTATTGCCGCAGAGCGATTGAGTAATAATATTATAAAAGTATCGCTATTGCATAAGGAGATGCACATATGTAAGTATTATTTATCGTATTTTTCTTTCATATTGGTTTCCTGTGAGTAGGGTATTTCCTTTAAATCGTGGCTTACATGACATGGCTTATGATTGATTTTTGTTCTGGATGAGATCCCTTTTATGTTAGAGCTGTCTACCCGAGTTTAATTGAGATGAGATATTTATTCTACATGTTTGAGGTTTGGAGTGTTTTTCCTTTTGGTTTATTACTTTTATTCATAGGGCTTGGAGTTAGTATTAAGGGAGTCACAATTTGAGACATGGTATATACATGAGGATTTCCTTGTTTGGATTATTTCGCTCGACGTACTAACTCTCGGGTTGTGATTTCATAAATATTAACTTCCAATTAGAATTTTATGAATAATTTCATATGTATATGTACTAACTCTATTTTCTATATACTCCTTCCCCTTCCCCTGGGGAGAGGTGGAGATGATCTCGCTATAACGCTTTGACGCTCGTTGTTCCCCCCTTTCTGGCAGTGAGTCAGACGCACAGAGAGTCGTAGGTTAATGGGATTTCCTCATAGATTCCATCTAGCTATTTACTATTTAGTAGTTATTTCAGAACTCCACAGTTAGTTCATAGATTCCATCTAGCTATTTACTATTTAGTAGTTATTTCAGAACTCCACAGTTAGTTGTTTATGTTCAGACTCTAGACTTGTATTTCATTTTGTAGAGGCTGAGAGCCATAGTGATATTTTATTTGACTCATTGTTCTTGAGGTTTACTTCAAACTTAGAAGTATTTCTACTCTATTTTAGTTGGGCTCACTGATGATTATTCTCATGCTTCCTCTGTGTATATCTGGCTTGACTCTATTTCTTTTATTTGCCTGTCTGTACCTTCACCTATTTGTTGTTTCCACTAAAGATATAGTAATTATGATGGTGAAACATGTCGTAGCACGATGTTTGGTGCTTGGCAGGTTTGACATTTTAGGTTTCGCCTTGGACTGCAGCCTCGCGTAAAACCTAGGGCGTCATAACCCCTTTAACACATTTTGCCATTAATGACTTAATTGAGAGGGTGGACGCTTGTTCATTTACTACCGCTGGTGTTGAGGGTTTTTTTCCGGCGGAGACTAAATTTTGGACGTTCCTTTGTCATGCACGAAAACCTATTCGGCCTAAGACCCTTCTGGCGAGGTATCTCGCCCTTTGGTTGAAGAAGTGCGTCGTTCCATATCAGTTTTCTGACGCTTTGCCTGTTGAGGTCCTCCTCCCTACCGTCCAGTTAGCTCACGGGAAGGATCTCTCTTTGCTTTCGGCGATGGTCGTCGATATTCATTGTAGGCTTAGATATTTGATCGATGGTTTTACACATGTGGGTTCTAAACCGTCGACCGAGATTCTCTCCGTAAAGGTCGAGCTTCCGTATACGTACTTGATGGCATGGCTCGTCCTTCATCGTCCTGATTTAATGTTGATGCCTAGTATTACCGATGCCTCTATCCCATTTCTGTAGTTGTTAGAGTGGAGCAAATGGTTTGCGAAGACCTTCACTAAGGCACATCGAGAGCTTCAAGTTCGTAAGTGCTGGGAATTCTTCAAATGTTTTCCTTATTTCTCGGGTCGTTATGACGACGTATTGATTGATGAGGAGAAACCGGGGGCCGGTCGGACTTCCCTTGATATTGGTTGCTTCTGTTGGTTAGTGAACATCCGCGTTGGACACCTCGTCCTTCGGGTGAAGGGTCGTTGCCACATAGAATCCTATCTTCCTTGCCATTTCACTCGTTAGTTTGGTTATGACCAACTATATGTTGGGAATCTGAACCGAGGCTTGAGGACTGAAGGAGGCCTTATCGATGGCGCCCGAGCATGGCTCTGGACTATGACGGGTTGTACCGGTGCCTATTTCGCTCTTCCTTCATCCAAACGCAAACCATTGCCTACCTTTCTCAGTTACAAATGGCTCCTTTCTGCCAACGAGCTTCTGGATGTGAAGGGCCTCTCAGAGTTGGAGGCTGAGCACTTGGTTCAGACTACTTTCTGCCAACGAGCTTCTGGATGTGAAGGGCCTCTCAGAGTTGGAGGCTGAGCACTTGGTTCAGACTACTATCAAAGCTGCTCGTAAGGCTGGTGAAGGGCCTCTCAGAGTTGGAGGCTGAGCACTTGGTTCAGACTACTATCAAAGCTGCTCGTAAGGCTGAGCTTTCGAAGAAGCGGGGGAAGAAACCTATCAAACCCTCCCATTCGAGCAAAGATAGGATGGAGGATGATGAGGAGGTCCTTCCTATTGATGATGAGGATGAGACTTCTGAAGAAGAAATGAGGGACATGGACACTAATTTTGGAGTTGGTGGGAAAGAATCCGAGACAGGTCTGTCAGACTCTTTCTTTTTGGAATTAATGGATCTGACGTTTTCTCGTTGGTCTCAACACTTTACCTTTTCTAGATCTCAATCGGCTCCTCAAAAACTGGAACGAAAGGTTTTATTTAATTATC